TACATATTTAGGTTCTTCTATATTGAGTACGTAAATGTTTAATAGGGTTATATCCTCATGTTGGATTGTTCCCTTTGTCATTATGTAGTGTCCTTCTTTGTCTTTTACTATGCCTTGATTTTAAAGTCTATTTTGTCAGATATAATTATTGATACCCCAGCTTTTTTTCCTTTACCATTTGCATGGAATATCTTTTTCCATCCCTGTCCTTTTAGTCTGTGTCTATCTTTTGATCTGAGCTGGGTCTCTTGGAGGCAGCATATATATGGGTCTTATTTTCTTATCCATTCAGCTGCCCTATGTCTTTTGGTTGGAACATTTAAGACATTTACTTTTAAGGTGATTATCAATAATACATATGTAGTGTCATTTTATTATTAAACTGTTTTCCTCTGTATTTTTTTCCTTTCTGTTTTTCTTCTTCTTAAAGCAATCCCTTTAACATTTGTTGCAGTACTGGTTTGGTGTTAACAAACCCCTTAAGCTTTTTCTTATCTGGGAAACTCCTTATTTCTCCTTTGATATTAAATAGTAGCCTTGCTGGGTAAAGTAGCCTTGGTCATAGGCCCTTGCTTTTCATACCTTGAATATTTATGCCATTCCCCTCTGGCCTGACATGTTTCTGATGAGTAGTCAGATGATAATCTAATTGGTTCTCCCTTGTAGGTCACTATTGGCTTTTCTCTTTCTGCTGTTGGGGTTTTCTCCTTATCTTTAGCTTTATCAGTTTAATTGTGATGTGTCTTGGTGTAGGCTTCCTTGGGTCCAACTTGTTTGAGACTCTCTGAGCTTCCTGGACTAGGGTGATTTTTTCTTTCACCAGATTAGGGAAGTTTTCAGTCATTATTTCTTCAAATAGGTTCTTGATTCTTAATCACTCTCTTCTCTCCTTCTGGTATTTCCATGATGCAGATGTTGTTACATTTCATGTTGTCCAAAATGTTTAAGTCCTCCTCATTCTTAAAAATTATTTCTTCTTTTTGTCGTTCTGCTTGATTCTTTCTACCTTGTCTTCCAAAATAGTGATTTGATCCTCTACTTCATCTAACCTATTCTTTATTCCTTCTAGTGTTTTTTTTTCAGATACTGCATTCTTTATTTCTGACTAATCTTTTTTTTATGACTTCTATGTGTATTTTCATGCTGTTGAATATCCTTATAATCATTACTCTAAACTCTCTGTCTGATAAATTGCTTACCTCCATTTCATCTAGTTCTTCTGGATAATTCTCTAGGTCTTTCATTTGGGGTCTGTTTCTTTGTTTTCCTATTTTGGCTTCTTCTTTGCATTTTTTGTCTTGGATGCTAAACTAATCAGTTATCAAACTAATCTTCTGTTAATCTAATCAATCTGTAATCAATAGTCAGGCTTACTCACCACAGGGAAGGAAGGGCAGTTTCTTTCAGGCAGGGCTATTGCTTGCCCTTGAGTTGATGTCATTTATAGAGGAATGCCTGAAAGAGATGGCTCATGCAGTAGGGGGAATAATTCAGCAAATGGATCCTGGAGGCTGTTCCCTCAGTTCTCTCCCCAGAACCACCAACCCCAAACTGTCCTTTAGAGTCTCTAGTCCACTCTGCCCTCCCTTTTCCAACACTCAAGGTAAGTGGCTGCAGAAAAAAATTTTGTGATTTGGTCCTTTAAGAGGCTGAGTCCCCAGCCATCTCTCCGTGGCAGACAGAAACACTGATGCTTTTCACAGCTGGATGCTATCTGGGTTCCTTTCCAGCTCTGGTGCTGTAGGTTCCAGAGCCCAGCCTGGTATTTAGACCCCACACTTCTCAATGGGAACCCACCCCCCAGCCACTGAAGTATCCTTCTGGCACTGCACTTGCCACCTTGGGAGCCCAGACAGCTCTCTTCTGCTTCCTCCTCACTCTCTACCAGTCATATTGTGGTGAAGTGTTTTCTTGTTTGCCCGTAGTTATAAGGCTTCTCTCCAGCTACTGTTCAGTTGGTTATTCAAGATGATTTCTCTACAACTTAGTTGTAATTCCAGACTGGTCCTGGGAAGAGGTTAGTGTAGCTTCCACTTACTCCCCCACCATCTTGGATCTTGAGTAAAATTCTATCTTTTCGCTATTCAATTGGGTGTTTTCTTCTACATTTTCTTTCACTCATTGAAGCTCTGCTTCTTTACTCTGCTGTTGATTCCCTCTAATATGTTCTTATATTTTTCAATTCTGACTGGTTCTTTTCTACAGTCTCTAGCCCTTTGTTGAAGTTCTGAGTTGTTTTTTTCCCCCTAAGTTCATTAAAAACATTCTTATAACCAGTGCTTTGAACTCTGTGTCTGGTAGACTGCTGTCTCCATTTCCTTTGCTCTTTTCCTTGTTTTGTCCTGTTCTTTTATTTGGAATGTTTGTCTCCTTATTTTGGCTGCCTTCATGTATCTGTTTCTATGTCTTAGGTGGAAAGGCTACATCACCCAGTCTAAGGCTCAGTGGTACAGTCTCCTTGTTCACTTGAGGTAGGTGCTCCAGGAGTATCCATCAGGTGGACTGTGTTGTGTTCTCCTGCTCTGGTTGAGCCTTGACTGCTGTTGGCACATTAGTGGGTGGGACTAACCCTCAGGCTGATTGGCTGTGACTATAATAGACAAGATGTTGTATGAGGACTTACCCCACAGAGCAGGATTTACTTTAGTGGGGCTATGGTGCTAGTGGAGTCTGCCCTTTGAATGTTTCATTTGTGGAGTTGTGATCTGAATCCATCCACTGGGTATGTTGGTTCTGGAAGCTCTTGTGCTCTGGTGCAGGACAAGCTCTGCTGCCATTTGTGTCTGGCTGGGGAATGCCTTTGTAGTAGCAGCTACAAAGTTATGTGTTTGGTTGCCACTTGCACTGGGCTTGGAGGCACTTGCAAGGGGCATGTTGTGAACTGAAGCCAGGGGCCACTCATGCCATGCATAAGACCTTTGGTGGGTACCACAATGTGAGCTAAGGCCAGCTGCCTCATATGCTGAGTTGGTGGCCACTTAGTTGAAGCTACTTATCAGAGCAACACTGGCTGCAGATAATGCTGGGTTTAGGGTCACTTGATGGGAGTTATAATGCAAGGGTTGCCCCTTGTGCTAGTGTTGGGGCTATTTAGCAAAAGGTACAGAGCACACCAGTCAGCTATTTTTTTTTCAGGTATATGAACCTTTGATTTTAGCAAAGTCTACAGTGTGATCTAAGGTAAGGCTACTTGTGTGGAAAAGCTGGTGAAAGAGATTTGTCAGGGCATGTGAGTTGGCTGGGTCTCAAGGAATCACTAGGGTGGAGTGATTAGCCAGATTAATGGAGAGTTTAGTTTGCACACACCTGTATCTGCTAGTTGGGTGCAGGAAGGCCTCAGGAAAAAAGCAATGGCAACTGCCAGAGCCTCTGTCCCTCAAAGGAGACACCCTGATCCCTGCCTGCCCTTTCAACCCTGAAGCCAGTCAATTCACTTCCTCCATGTCCCTGGCACTATTCAAGGTACCACTGCCACACTGGAGCCCAGGGCGAATAAGGTTGTAAATTTATATGCAAGTCCTCAAGGGAAATGCCTGGGATTCCAGCAGCCCTTCATCTCACTTGAATGCAATCCCCACAGGTTTTTCACAGTCAGATGCTATGGGAACTCTTACTGGCACTGGTATCCTGGGCATTGGAGGTGGAGGAATGGGAATGCTTCCTCCACAGGGCATACCCCTGCAGCCGAGGTATCCCTCTTGTTTCTTAATCACAACATGGGTACGGAACCTGTGTTCTGTGTAACAGGCATTCTGTGTCTCTGTCTCTGCTACTAGTCTCCTTGTGGCTTCTTTATAACCTTAGTTATAGGACTGCAGTTCAGCTAGTCTTCAGGTGTTTTTCAGTAATGGTTGTATAATTTAGTGCTAATTTTGATGTGGTCATGGGAAGAGGCAAGTACAGCATTTACCTACTCTGCCATCTTGACCAGAAGACAGCCTATGCCCTATTTTTTTTAAATTATGTCCTGAAACTTGTAATTAGCTATTATTTAACCAGACACCCATCCAAATATTAACCTAAGTTTTTCATTTACTCTTCAAAACCACCTTAAGTAGTGTTTTAAAAGATCAATAGCAGCTGAGGAACCCAAAGGCACTCAGGGAAGGTGGGTGGGTGGGCAGGGATGGCTCACTTGTGTCCTGCATCCACTCTGTGAGGGTAGGAGGCAGATGTGTCTTACTCTCTTGGCACCTAATACAGTGCAGTACACCTAGAAAGCCCTCAAAACTAATGAACATATGCTCTTTACTCAAAGGAGAGCACTTTCAAACGACATAATAGGGGACTTTCCTGTGAAAGAGGCATTTATTGTATGAAAGGAAAAAGGTTTAAAGGCAGATCCTTTTAATATATGGTACCTTTTTAATGTTAAAAAGTCCATATTGTTTCCCTAATACAGATTTCCCATCCCCTTTTCATCAGGCAGATAGTCAGCTAATACCCGGCAAGGGACACCAGAAGTTCAGTGTGTCTGAATATGAGGTCCATCTCCTGTGTTGTGTTTTTGATCCAAAGGAGGGACAAAAACACAGCAAGTCAGCCATAAAATAGGTTTATTTTATGAATCAATTTAATACTTCTCACCCCCACCTTTTTTAATATTTATTTTATGAATCAATTTAATTATCTTCATCCCTACCTTTTTTTAATATTATGAGCAACATATGCCATTATGGTAGCTATTAAGGGTGAAAGGATTAATTAAAACTATAATTATCTGATAAGACTAGCACACTGTCTAATGAGATTTAGGGCAAATTCATCTACTTCAGCTAAAAATACTGGACAGAATAAAAATAGGTGAATAATGAAATAAAAATTAACCATGCAGGTAATTTTCCCACTATGTTTTTCTGAGGTGACCTAAGGTATCATTCAAACAAAGAGTCATAGTATGCTCTTAACTTTTATTAAGAGTTCTGGGTACAAATAACAAATTTAACTTATTTAGAAAAAAAATGTACTCTCTAAGGTTTGTTCATAAAAAAACCCTGTTCTGTACATTTTAATCTCTAATTTTAATGCTTCATACCATAATGCTTCTAAGTATATAACTTAATTTTAGGTTTAAATTTAGTAATTATGTTAGAAATTCTGTATCCAGTTAAAGAGCCTAGAAAATATCGGGTAACGAAAAACAAAAGAGTAATCAAAATGACCTAAATATACAACTTTACTAAAAGGCTTTTTGAAAAGCCTGTAAGACAAAACAACCTAAGTATTTGAATACTTTTGGCAGAAAAATTAGCAGCTATGAACAAAATTAACATTACATAATATTTTATTGGTAACTGCATTACAATATTGTGTTTTACATATATTAGAATTATTTGCAACATACTAAATACTTATTTATGTTAGACATAAAATCTACTTATTAAAACATTTAAAAAATATAGTTTAGCACTTTTGGGAGATTCAATTCCCAATAAATGACAGGGACACAATTGAAAAGATGGCTGGTACATCTTTTAATTAGAGACCTAACCAGGTAAAGTCTTGTCAAATAGTTATGAAATTATATTCAATAATAAGCATTTATAAGAATTCAAGATAAACAGTAACACTTGTACCCTCATCAGTATGTATGCTTGGCATTGGAAATCATACCATGAGTGACTACATAGTAAATTCTTAAAAGAAAAAAACATAACATCTCACTTTAGAGTAAGTGCCAATATACATTTTTAAATTCTTCCCCTGATGCACTATTTCCATCACTCTTCATTTAAACAACATTAGCAGAAAACTTTACGTGGTTGGTAATGTGTTACCACTTCTTAAAGACCAATCATACTTAGCATAATACAAGATCATAAAGTCTTTGCAGATGAAGTGAGCAAATGACTAATGCAAATGCATTTCAACAGAAAAACATCCACCCTAGACTGCAAGGCAGAATTCCCATTTCTAAAACACTTGAAAGCAAGGTTGCTTTCAAAATAGTTCTATAAATAGAGTAGTATTACACTATCATTTTCTCTTTGGTTTGACAATAAGCTCAAATCTTAATAGTATATATTAAAATTTCCAAGTTATGTTACTTTGGAAACATAATTGAGTTGAAAATATTTCTATATTGGAATAAAATTTCTTCTATTTCATGTATTTGGTATGAAAACTCAGATACAAATAGTGCAGGAGAAGAAAGAGAGGAATTACTGATTAGGTACTGGGGGCCATGTCAGAACTGTTTGTGCAAACATCTTCCAAATTCAGCCTAATATGTTAGCCCAGTTGTGACTGAATGAGACTTCTAATTGAGAAATGAGTAGCCCTTATCTGGGCTTCCTTCCAAAGAAATGAGAAGTCCCAATGTCATGGCTGCCTTCATTTAAAAGTAGCTCAGCCTGGCCATGTAAGAAAGGGACCTCCACCCCTCTCAACTAAGGGTATGGCTCTGAAATAGCACCCATTCTCCGCTGCCCGGGAGTTAAGCTTCCCAACAGAGTCTCTCACCCTTAATTTCCACTCAGTTGATCAACAAGAAGACTAGGTTTGGCCATATGCTCACTGAGTTAAATACAAATAAATAAATAGGGATTAAAAATAGAAAATGAATGTGAACTCCAATGGAGTAAAACTTCCCATAGAGCTGATTTAAGAGCTAACACCTATTTGTAAATAAAGTAAAAACTAAGTAAGATATTTGTCTATTTTAGGTTTCATTCAAAAGAGCCTCCTTCATTCTTGGTGAACTAGCTATGTGAAGTCATATGATCAACTTACTTATTTGCACTGTATTTATCTATTAAAATAATTTCTTAAATTTTATAATATATACTGTATTAAAATATTTAAATATTTACAATTGGAAAAATGTATTCTATAGTCAGTCATCTCAGTGCTATGTCTTCAATCTCATCTTCTACAGAACCAACTGCTTTTACTGCTGGTTTATTGTTTGCATTTCTTAATCTGTGCCTGCTTGGATTAAAACTTCTTCCTTCGGTGAGGAAAAAGTTATCTTCATCATGCTCTCTGCTGCTTCTGTCTCCAGGGAGAAAATTTAAAGGGTCAAAGTCTCCTCTGCTAGCAGCCGGAGAATTCCGGCCACTGCTTTTAGAGGAAATGGTGCTGCTGCCACTGGCACCAAAGAGCTGTTCCATCAGATTAGCTCTTCTCTCTTTTCTTGTAGTTAAATCTACACTGTCTTTACTAAGTTTCTCTACACTGTTTCTTTGGAAATCCAAAAGGCCATTTTTTTGGTTAAATGGATCTGACTTCCCTGATGTTTTTGCAAATGAAGGCACGTAGCTGCCAAATGCAAGCTCATTTGGAGAGACTGGGCTTCTGATGTTTCCTGGATTCCAACCATCTCCTTTTGAAGTTAAAAGACTGATGCCTTGCAAGTGATGGCCATTGAATAATCTCTCTAAGTATTCAGAGAACTTGTGTGTTTTGGGGCTTTTCTCTGGGGAGTACAGTTCAGATTCCAAATCAGGTAGCAATGGCAGAGGATGACCTTTTAGATTCTGAGAATCTTGGAAGTCTCTGTTGATGTCATTCAGTTTGGCAAGTGGAAGGTCTTTCTTCAGTCTTTCTTTTTCCTCTTCTAATTTATCTGGATTTTGAATTTGGTACATTTTCATTTGGTATCTTCCAGTTTCCAATGCTGGCTTGGCTTCTTTCTCTAGCACAGATGTCTTTTCTTTTTGCTTTTTAGCAAGTGCTTCTCTTTCCCATTCTGTATAAAATGAAATTTTATAGCAATCAATATTTTTAAACAGGAAACCTCAACCCTCATCTTTTACAAAGCAAGTTTTTATTTAGTTTGGGTGTTAACACTACAGTGAAAATGGACACCATAAATCTCATATCTATACTTGATATTCTGGGATTCAAAAAGAATATACTTAATGTGTACTGTATTTAAGGTTTGTATTTCCATTTAAAGAAAAATTTTGTTCTTCAATTAAAGAGTGGGGAAAAAGGTCCTCTGCCTAGTTTTTATACCTGATGTAGTGCTGCACACTGAATGGAGGGTGGTGGCATGGATGGAGAAAATACTTCTATTTTAAACTTAAAAATAAGTTTAACTACTGGATGTCATACCCTTAGAAAGACACATCACTTATTCAGTATTCTGACAGATGCATTATCCTGAATCTAATTAAAAGAAAACTTCAGATAAACCTCAATGAGGAACATTCTATTAAAAAACAAAAAGGGCCTGTATTCATCAGGAATATAAATCTCACAAAATATTATTTTAAAGGTAAAGAAGCTATTCCAGATAAGAAAATACTGTAATGGACAATATTGTGTCAGCTGACAGATGTACTATAGACAGCCAATAAGAGAAATAGGTTGTATCAAAGTTAAATTTCCTGAGGTTGAAAACCATACCAGAATGACATGATATAAGAGAATGTCCTTATTTTGGAGAAATACACATGGAAATATTTTATGGTATGGGCCTGAGATATACAACTTAATCTTGAACAGTTCTTTGGTCATTATTGCTGCTTTGCTATAATTTTGAAATTATTTCCAAATAAAAAATTTTAAGTATTAAAGTATGTAAGAACACTCTACACATTTGGTAATTTTAGTAAATGACATACATTCTTAATGATGTCAGAGATTATTTCATATAGACTCCAGGGGTGGGGAAAATCAGTTGAAAAGGACAAAGAAAAGTGACAGTCTATTACTTTATTCCTTTTCCTGGTACCTAGACAGAATTGAACATAACACCTAATTTTCTATTCTATAGTTTAACATGTGAAAGCATCTCTCTTTGCACCTTAGCCAAAAGTGATATCAATATAGCTTCCACTCAACTGTTATATTGTTTTAAATATACACACAAATGTATGTACACTAATTCAAGTAACAATTAATTATGATTTTATGTTCCATTAGCTTTAAGGGAAAAAAAGGATTTCTCTGTAAGCACCTACAACAAAACTAACAGAGTACATTCAAAGGCTTGGTCTCACCTTTACCTTTAAGACATTTTATCCAGATAGAAATAAATTTATTACTGAACTTTATTTCCAATATCTGAAACCATGTGAGTTGGTTCACTAAACTTCTACATGAATGGTTGAACATATTAAAGATTTACTTTACAAGTTAAAACCAAAGAAAAATTATAGGAATATATTCAGAACCTCATAATTTATTGATTTTAATGCTTGGGCTAATCTACACACAAGAGTTTCAAGGTCAAGCCAATAAAGACAGTTGTACTTCAGTTATATCTTCATTAAGCTTTAGTTAATACACAAAGAATTTTTCCCCTTTGTCTGAATTTTCTGAAGGTAATTTTATCCTTATTCTCTAACCCAAATTGCAACTAAAAGACACTTTTCATTGTTTTCTTTCTTTAGTAATCACAGCATTTGAATGAATGCTGATAGAATACCTGCTACTACTGTATCAACCTTTTCTTGTTCTGTATGTCCAATTCATTCTTCAGCTGGATGATATTAGGGGATGTTAACCCTTTCTTTCCCAAGGGACGCTGACTCATCACATGCTTAAACAAACCCTTACCATCCTGTAGTTTCTCAGCCTCTTGTTTTACAACATGGATTCCTTGATCTTTAACAAATTTTTCTTCTCTTTGTACAACTGGGCTTAGAAACCCTGCTTCTTCATGCTCATTTCTCTCTTCAGATTTCAGGTCCTGTTACATATTAAAAAAAATTCAAGTTCACATGAAGAAAAAGGAGAAGAAGCTATTTACATATTTTAGATTTATCTCCCATTAAGCATGATACCAACTAAGTTAGAAATAAAATTTTTAATTAATAAATCACTAAAATCAGAAGTTACCACCCTTAGAAATTTGTGTGCTTTTGAAGCATCTTTCATATTTTATTTAAAAATTTAAGGAAGCATTTTAAGCTATATTAAAACCAATATAATGGAAATAAAGTCAATACCCTACCTAAAATTATAAAAAAGTTTCAGAAGTATTATTGCTTTGTACATTTCACAAAAAATCTGATTAATTCAGTTAACCAAAAAGGCTATTAACTGAGTATAAGGGCCAGCTGAGATGGCATTGAACTGTAACACAGGCAGAGACAATTACATGGAATCTTTCAGTTTATACTAGGATATGAGTCTCACCTATACTTTTAGGCTGAAAGTCTTCAATTAATAAATTTTGTAATATTTAAATCAAGTAAAAATATAAACTTAAATTCTTTTATATGGTCTCTTTCACATGTATATTTTTCTTAATAAAAGTAAAATATCTGTTATTAGTAGACTTGGGTAGTAGAGCATTGCCCCTTTAGTATCCATGTTCCCCTTCTTCCTTTTCGTTCCAAAATACTTTGGGCTGTTCAACTGGAGACTGCACTGACTAGCCTCTCTTACAGCTAGACAGGACCAATAAGGTATGAGTGGAAGTATGTATACAACTTCTGATCACATTTGTAAAAGAAAAAACTGCTTGCTTCACTTCCTCATTCCTCCTTTTCACAGGGGTGGTGAGCCAAGCATAAAGAAGAAGACTACACCCTATAAGGTGGAAGAGCAATAAGACAAAAGACAGCTACCATGAAACGAATCTTTCTGCCTATTCTGGACTACCCTTTGGCCTTTAGACTATTACAAGAGAAAGAAACTTGTATTTTGCTTGAGCCATTGTATTTGAAGTCTCTTTCCCATAGCAACTTAGTCTGTACTTTAATCAACACAGCTCCCATTTGCTGAGGCTCTTTAAAGTGGAAGATCAGTCTTAACTTAATAAACTTTGTGATTAGTTATTACCACACCCTGAAGGGTAATGCTCCTGCATTTTATAAATTGGGAAATTGAAGCTCCAGTCACACAACTAATATGTCAGAACAAGAATTTAACAAAAAAGCAATGCTAATTCTAAGGCTATACTCTTTTTACTACATCAAGCTGCTGTTCCTCCTGCTGAAACTTTTATCATATTAAAGTTAAAAATTACTATTCCACAATTTAACCTTCAAAAAGACCACTTAACATGATCACTAGTCTCCATGACAGTGAAAATACAGGAAGAAATACAGCAGATACAGCTAACTTGTCTAAATTAAAATTAAGAAACAAAAAATTAGAGTAGACACAGGAACCAAAACAGAAAGTTCATCCTTTCTGTTTTATACAAAAAGAGATCTCAGGATCATGGGGATACTTACAAGGCACAGAAACATAGGATTATATAAATGTGATGGCTCTCTGGTACATGTCTCTTTTGGATTTTAAACTAAACACTAAAGAGAAAAGTCTCTTAGAGAAAAGGACCCTCCAGTAGTCAGAATACATGTCCTATTATGTGAAGGTCCAACACAGACCCACTGCATGCCACTCTAGTTCGAATGGCATGAAGTCAGACTCCACTGCAAGTTCTTTGCTCAGCATTTAGCTAACTTGTAAAATTCTCCCCCAAATTAAATGTAGTAAAATTCTAACAAATCATTTGAAAACTACTATAATTTGCTTTTAAACATAAAAGCAAGGAGGGTTTTTAAGACTATCTTGGTATATACAATGTAAGAAACTTAGTACATTTTTCTTCTGAAGCATTTGAAAGATACAATGTGAACTAAGAGTCAATCTAAAGAATTTAATAAAAATACACAGATGGTACCTGTCTCTTTGAAAGGCTAGTTGCATATTTACAGAGAGAGCATTAGTGTCACTGCTGAAATTTTTAAAATGTTTGATATTGTGTTTTGAGAAAAACTTCAAAGCTAAGGTTTGGTATCTAATCATACTGCTAAACTCACCAAAGTAAGACGTTTGGGTTCCCATTTGTTTTCATAACACATAACTCTTTTTGGTGTAATAGGAAATTCTTCCAGCTTGAAGTCTTCACTGGTTTGTACTCCTTTTGTACACTGCTTTGTTAAATCACATTGGCATGCAGCTACCATGAAAATTATAAAATAATTTTTCTAATTGTAGTAAACATTGCTAAGATATATGGAATTCAGCTGGTATATATATTCACCATCTAAATGAAATAATGCATGTTTTGCTCAGCTCAATGACTACTCACTATAGTTTTTGTTTCTAGGATTTACTGGCAGTTATGTAATTTGATGACAATTCTGACCAGTAAATCCTATTAAGTTTTTATATAGTTAGTGTTTTTAAATTTTTATAATTTACAGAAGAGAGAAATTATACTTCTGTTTAAAAAAATATAAATATATGCATGATAATACTAAAAGTATTTATTAGTGAAATGAAATAGTTGGATTTTGCTTTACAATACTTTGGGTGGGGGAGTAAGAAAAAGAGATGAGATTAGTAAAATGTATAACTAACTATTAAAGCTAGGTGATATATAAATAAAGGTTCATTGTATTATAATCTCTAGTTTGGGTTATGCTTATAAAGAAAACTTTAGAAATTATATAAAATATAACTTTTATGAGCTCGGGGGAAAGCTCGAGAAAGTTGAAAGAATTTCCAAAAACTAATGTTAAATATTAAACTAGTCAATAGTTTAAAGGAAACTTAAATTTATTTCAATGAAGTTCTTTCACCTTTGCCTTCCTTGTATTTCAGAATTTATTTTGTTAGTAATAGCTACCACATGTTTTTCAACAACAATAATAGCTACTATACCATTTTTTCTTGATACATATTCTTTTTCTTTCTTTGGAGAAGACTTTGGTAGACGGTTAGAATATATGTTTTTTATATCCAGTTCTCTCTCCTTTTCCTGAAAATAAACCCAGTACATTTAAGTACACAGAGTGTCAGTTTAAAACAGAAATTCTCACCTTGTCAACTGATATTTTACTTACCAAACTGAAATGTACCTAATTCAGCTTCCCTTTGTAACTACCTAACTATAGAAAGGAACATCTCTACGATATTTAAGTTTAGGCAGAGCAATGATTCTCCCTACAAAGTCCAATATATACTGGCAGTCAAAAAAAAAAAAAAAGGAGAGAGAGAAAATAAGGCAACATTCATTTTGTTCATCTTTCCACTTCTACCTGACAGAGCTAGTATTGTCCTAAACTGTCTTCCACTTTAAGCAAGAGACAAATAATTTAGTTAGCGTTTCTCAAATGTGAGTTATAAATTATTAATGAGTTAAAAATTAAACCTTTTTTTAAAAAAACACAAGTGTTCCAATTGAATTCTATGCAGCAGAAAGGAAGAAGGAGCTCCTAGCCTTCATGACAGCCTGGATGGAACTGGAGAGCATTATGCTAAGTGAAATAAGCCAGGCGGTGAAAGACAAATACCGTATGATCTCACCTTTAACAAGAAACCTAATCAACAAAATGAACAAGCAAGCAAAATATAACCAAAAACACTGAAATTGAGAACAGGCTGACAGTAACCAGAAGGGAGAGGGGAGGGGATTATAGGGAAAGAGGATGAAGGGTTTGAAGGAACAATTATAAAGGACACATGGAAATAACAAGGGTGGGTGGAAACAGGGGAGGGAATTGGGTAGGGCTAGGGTGGTGGGGGGAAGTGGGTAGGGCTAGGGTGGTAGGGTGGTAGGTGGTGGGGGGAAAAGGCAGAAAACTGTACTTGAACAAAAGTAAAAAAAGTTAAAAAAAAGATGGGTATGCAATACATTTTATTATTTTGAAAGAAAAGTGCCTAAATAAAGATGTTCAGAAATTCTGGAAACAAAACAGAACAACAAAAAAAGCACAAGTGTTGTTGACCATTTGGGGGCTATAGATATCTCTGAGAATTTGATTAACAAAGTAAAACTTTAATGTGAGATAATGTATAAACACTAAATTTTTCACAAAATTTCAACACATAAATAATCTCAGGAGAAAATTAAGAACAGTTGTTTTAACAAAATTAACTTGATTTGAATGTTTCCTCTGAGTCTACACACTGTGAAAATTAAGGGCATTATTTAAAATAACTTTAAAATTAATTAATCATGGTTTTCTGAGGAAGAACACTGGATTATTCAACCATGCAACAGAAAAACTCTAGTGCCCATAATTTTTTTACATAATTTTTTAACTTCAGTTATATCTCTTGTAAATATCTCTTAATGTATTCAGTGTTTCAATTTTGACAAGTGTTATAGTGATTATATCAACAAACCTTTTCTTTATAAGTGCCAAAGATGGTGTTGGAATTTTGTAAATGATACTGTACTACTTATAAATATGAAAGTAAACTAACTGTATTGTAAAAATATTGAGTTTTCATTTAATATATTACAGGGAGAAATATTTGATTTAAAATAAAGTGCTTACCTTCAATTTGTGATGTAATTGTTGCAACTTGTTTTGAAGAACTTGATTTTCATTATGAGTGTCACATGCCCTTTTCCTTTCAGCAAGCAACTGTCGTTGGAAACTGTTACTACTCAGTTCAAGGTTTTTCGTTAGTTCCTATGATATGTGTGCAAACACATTAAAATAGTACTTAAAATAATTAAACAGCAAAACATTTCACTTAGCATCAAAGTGATTTTTTAGTAGTACTGTATAAGGCATACAAACGAGGTTGGGATTAGTATTTCTAAACAAAATAATCCGTGAAATAGACTGACCAAACAATTTAATGCTTAAATACATTTTTTTCTTTGTTTTTCTCAATGATTTATAAATAATCTTAAGCATTAGTCTGAGACATACATGGATAGTCATTTAAGTTGGGAGCAAAAGACAACTAAGGGCTGTGATGAAAATCACGGCTTTTGAGAATCATTGTTTGGGCAAACAGATATGAAGACAGCTGTGTAAAATTACACAGCACTATTCAAGGTGCTGAGATTACCTTATAAAATATCTCTAAATAAAAATAATAGGCATCTCTCTGGCCTTCAAAATGTTCTATGAAGTTTATGAGAATTTATGTTAAAATGTTTTCTTTTAGATAATGTCAACATTATGGTGGCATGAGTCATTACTTTTTTTCCTCTCCCCTTTGACTTACAACTAATCAGACACCCATAATTGAACAAAAATGCCCCTCTGCCCAGCACACCAGGATACTTGAGAGATCCATCCATCTGTACACCCAAAAGAGGGTGGACTGGCTCTCAGAGAAGGCTGCAGAGCCAGGAGAGTGGCAGTGGCAGCAGAGTTAGGCCAACACAACCTTTCTGGCAGAGGACGTGGAAGGTAGATGTGGTGAGTGGAAGGTCTGCCCTGCGGTGCATGCTGCAGCTAGAAGAACCCATTGCTCTCTCTGAGAAGAGACCACAGTCACCAGGTAGAGGAAAAGGGAAAAGAAGAAGGCAGGTACAGAGAGATGAAGAAATATGTATCCTTCTGTGTACCCCAGGATATTAGCAAAAAATCCACCCACAGACCTCTGGGACTCCCTCCACTGGAGGATCCCCCTGCATGAGCAATGCCCAAAGCTGCACCCCCGCCCCCTACAGCCACCATGGTTTTTTTCTCCTCCAGATTTTTTTTTAATGCACGAGCTCCCAACCTTAGTGGTAAGTCAGCTTTGGTAAGAGAAACCAAAATGTATGTTATAGAACCACCTTCTAGAAAACAAAAGAAGGCTCCTAATTATGAACCTGTTGAACTGTTAGAATCAAAATGAACAAAGGTGTCCACTACTTCAGATGCAGTAGTAAAGAGACTTTTCATCAGATACGATGAAAAAATATGGTAACATAATATCACAAAAAGAAAATGACAATTTCCTAACAATCACATCCCAAAATAGGGAATATTGTGATCTCACTGATAAAGAATTCAAAATAGTTGTTATGAAGAAATCTAATGAACTACAAGAAAACTCAGAAAGGCAATATAATGACTTCAGAACAAAAATTAATGGATAAGAAGAGTACTTTACAAAGAGTGCAATTCTAAAAAGATATGAAGAATGCTTTTACAAAGCCCTGGAAAGAGAGATCAGATGAAAGAGAGAATAAGCAAGCTTGAGGATAGGAATTTCGAAGTGATTCAGGTGGAACAGGAGAGTGAACAAAGATTTTTTAAAAGTGAAGAAACCCTACAAGAATGGTCAGACTACATTCACAGAGCCAACATTAGATTAATGGGTAAACCAAAGGGAGAAGAGAGGAGAAAAAGAGCAGAAACTTAAAGACAAAATAGCTGAGAAATTCCCAAACCTGAGAAAGAAACTGTACATCCAAGTCTATGAAACTAATAAAACACTATATTATCTCAACACAAAAAAAAGCCTTATCCAAGTCACATTATGTTAAAACTGTCAAAAGTCATTGACAAAGAGTTTTAAAGGCAACCAAATGGGAAAAAACACTTTAGTAATCTACAAAGGAACACACATTAGGCTATCAGCAGATTGCTCAGCAGAAACTCTACGGGTAGGAGAGTATAAAAGAACATATTCAAAGTATGAAAGATTAAAAGTGCCAACCAAGAATATTCTATCCAGAAAAGTTACTCTTCAGATATGAAGGAGAAATTAGGCTTTCCCAAACAAAAGCTGAGGGGGTTCACCACCACTAGACCTGACTTACAAGAAATATTGCAACTCTTCAAGTTGAGGTGAAAAAAAAAAGTACACAAACTCTGCTTAGGGTGATAGTCAAAATTAGAAAACTAGCACTCTTTTTTAGAGTAGAATGGTAAGAAAAAGAACATTAAAAATAACTCTAACTACAATTTGGTAACAAATCACAGCATAAAAAGATACTTTGTGACATCAAAAATATAAAAGGGGAGAGGACAAAAGGATGGAACACTTACAAGTGAATAAAAATAAATTGCTATCAGCAGAAAAAGAACTATTTTATCTATGGGATATTTTATGTAAACATCATGGTACCACAGAGCAAAATCTAGACCAGAGATATGAAGCATAAAAAAGGGGGAGACTGAGCAAATCACCATGGAAAACCACCAACTTACAAATGTAGACAGAAACAGATGGAAAAAGAAACAAGGAAAAGACAAACCAGAAGACAAAAGATAAATTGGTAGTAAATCCTTACATATCAACAGTCAACTTGAATGTAAATGTATTCAGTTTACCAATTGAAAGGCAGAGTGGATGGATGGATGAAAATACAAGACCCAACTACCAGGAGACTTATAGTTCTAAAGACACATATAGACTCAAAGTGAAATGATGGAATATGATATTCCAGGCAAACAAAAATCAAAAGATGGTGGGCAGAGCCACACTTATATCAGACAAAACAGACAAAACAGACTTCAAGCCAAAAAGTATAATAAGAGGCAAAGAAGATCACTGTGTAATAATAAAGAGGTCTACTATCAAGAAGATATAACAATCAATCATAAATATACATACTCCAAACACCCAAGCACTGAAATACATTATGAAAATACTAGTGAATTTTAACAGAGAAACAAATAATACAATAATAGTAGAGAAGTTTAATACCAAACTATCAGCAGTGGGTAAATTTTCCAGACAAAAAGTTACTTAAGTAAACGTTGGAATTAAACCACACTTTAGAACACCTGGACTTAAAAGACATAGCAGAAGGTTCCATTCAACAGCAGCACAATACACATTCTCAAGTGCACATGAAACATTCCCCACAATATATCATATAATTGGACACAAAACAAATCTTGGCAAATTTAGGATTGAAATCATACTATCTATCTTTTCTGACCAAAATGGCATGAAACTGAAATCAAAGTGAGAGGATCTATAAATAAGTGGAAACTAAACAACACACTTCTAAACAACTATTGAGTCAAACCCAAAAAGAGGGAAAATTATCTCTAAAAGAATAAAAATGGAAACACAACACACAAAATCTCGTAGCATGCAACTAAAGCAGTTCTGAAAAGGAAACTTGATAGCAATAAACTCACAGAGTAAGAAACTAGAAAGACTTCAAATAAACAATGTAACTTTACACGTCAATAGACTACACAAAGAACAAATTAATCCCAAAGTTAGAAGGAAGGAAGGAAAAAATAAAGATCTGCAAAATGTAGCAGAAACAAACAAAGGGAAGCAGCCAAAATGGGGAAATGAAAAAATGAAAGAACAGGACAAAGTTCTAGAAAAAGAACTAAATGGAATGAAGAAAAGCAATCTACACTGGTTATAAGGATGCTCAATTAACATAGGGAAAAATAGATGAACTCAGTGAGAACTTCAACAAAGCAGTAGAAACCATAGAAAAAGAAATAATCAGAAATGAAGAATACACCCCGACCAGAGTGACTCAGTTGGTTGTGCATGGTCCACAAAGCAAAATGTCACTGGTTTGATTCCCGGTCAGGGAATGCCTGGGGTGTGGGTTCAATCCCCAGTTGGGATGTGTATGAGAGGGAACTGATGGATGTTTCTCTCTCACATCAATGTGTTTTTTCCTCTCTTTCTCCCTCCTTTTCCCTCTCTAAAAATGAATAAATGAAATCTTAAAAAAGAAATGAAAAATACAACAACTGGAATGAGGATACATTAGAGGGAATCGACAGCAGATTAGATGAAGTGGAGGACTGGACTTGCAATCTGTAACAAGATAGGAAAAAAAACCCAACTGGAACAGCAAAAAGAAAAAAAATTGAAAAAATTAGGACAGTTTAAGGCACCTCTAGGATAACATCAAACATACCAACATGTGTATTATAGGGGGACCAGAAGAAGAAGAGAGAGAGCAGGAATTCAAAATCTATTGGAATAATAATGACTTAAAACTTCCCTAAACTGGGATAAAAAAATAGACACAGAAGTCCAAGAAGCTCAGAGATTCTCAACGAAGATGAACCCAAAGAAGCCTACATTAAACATGTAAGTAAAATGCCAAAGTGAGAATATTAAAAGTAGCAAGAGAAAAGCAGTTAGTTATACACAAGGAAGATCCCATAATACTACCAGACAGATTTTCCAACCCAAACTTTGCAGGTCAGAAGGTACTGGTGCAACCAAGATTACTCTACCCAGCAAGACTATGATTTAGAATTGAAAGGGAGATAAAGAGTTTCCCAGACAAGAAAAAGGTCAAGGAGTTCATCATCACTAAACTAGTATTACAAGAAAAGTTAAAGAAACTGGGTGGGTTGGGATGGGAGTAAAAGATAGAAAATTGCACTGCAACAATTAAAATAAAATTTAAAAAAACTTATTTAAGTAGAAAAAAGATGAAACATATAAATAAAATATAGGAAAACAATTGTCACTGGCAAAGGTAAACACTTAATAAGCAGTAGATTAACCCACTATAAAGGCAGTATAAAGGTTAAGAGGCAAATAGGAAAATCATGTGTAATTATAACAATAAATTAAGGAACACAGAAAAGTAAAAAATAATAAATATATAAACATGAAGGAGGTGAGTAAAATAAGGTAGTGATTTCAGAATGTGCTGGAACTTAAGCAACGATCACCTTAAAATAGACTGATATCAACATAACTTGGTATCTGTGAAGCACATGGTAACCACAAACCAAAATCTGTAAGAGATAAACAAGAAATAAGGAGAAGGTGTGGTAGGAAAAGAAAAACCCCGAAAGTTTCTATGCTCTGTAACTGTAACACTTGCAAATTTTCACACAGGACTGTAGAAGCTGACCAGTCGTCACCAAGGCAACAGCTGGTTATCTCAAGGTCCTACACTAACTCCCATGATAAGCTCCTGTGCTCTGTAGCTTCCTCCTGCGTTTTGCTCCTTTGCCTCCCATATAAGGTAGCTAGACCTAACTTCCACATCTAGCTTCTGTAACCTTGCTTCACCACATAGGCAGGAAGCCCAGGACTATTTAAACCCAGGGAGAATAAAGATCAGGCTCAGAATTTGGGATTTAACCCTCTGGGCCCCCGGGAAATAAAGTTTGTGCTTCATTATCTCTCCTTGTGTGAAAGTGATTTTCCACAACAAAGGCATCCCAACACAACACTACAGAGAGTCATCAACATACAAGAGAAGAGAGCAAGAGAGTAAGAAAGCAACAGAGAAGAATTTCTTAAAAAAATAATAGTTAACAAAATGGCAGTAAGTACATACCTACCACATATTACTTTAAATGGATTAAATGTCTAATCCAAAAACATAGGGTGGCTGAATGGATCAAAAAACAAGACCTGTACTTATACTTCCTACAAGAGACCAACTTCAGGTTGAAAGACACACAGAGACTGAAAATAAAGGGATGGAAATAGATATTTCATGCAAATAGATTACTTTTTTAAAAAGCTGGGGTAGCAATACTTAGATCAGACAAAATAAACTTTAAAACAAGGGCTGTTAAAACAGATAAAAGAAGGGCATTTCATAATGATAAAGGGATTCACCCAACAAGTGGATATAACTCTTGTAAACATCTACACACCCAAAACAGGAGCACCTAAATATATAAAGCAAATACTGACAGACATAATGGGAGAGATCAACAGTAACACAGCCATAGTAGGGGACTTTAACATCCCATTGATATCAATGTGTAGATAGATCATTTGGACAGAAAAATCAACAATAAAAAAGTCATTTTAAATGACACACACACTTAATTGATATTTCAAATGACACATATAGATTTAACTATATTTTTGGAACATTTCAGCCCAAAAGAGCAGAATATATGTTCTTTTCAAGTATACATTAAACATTTTCCATGATAGACCACAAACAAGTGTCAATATTTAAGAAGATTTAAATCATATCAAACATCTTGTCCGATCAAAATGATATAAAACTAGTGTTCAAGTATAAGGAGAATATTGAAAAACACACAAACACAAGGAGGCTGAATAACATGTTATTAAACAATGAAAGGGCTAATAATGAGATCAAGGAAGAAATCAAAATACACCTGAAGCAAATGAAAATGAAAACATAATGACCCAAAATGTAGAGGACACAACCAAAATAGTTCTTAGAGGGAAATTTACAGCAATACATGTCTACCTCAAGTAACAAGAAAAATCTCATATAGACACCTTACATCTAAAGGAATCAGAAAAAGAACAAACATAGCTCAAACATAGTTCAGTAGAAGAAAGGAAATAATAAAGATCAGATTGGAAATAACAGAATAGAGTAAAAAAAATCAATAAAACCAAGCACTGGCTCTTCCAAAAGATAAACAAAATGGACACATCTTTAGCCAGATTCATCAAAAAAAAAATGAGAGAAGGTCCAAATAAATAAAATGAGAAATGAGACAGAAGTGACACTGACATCACAGAAAAACAAAAGACTGTAAGGAAATAACAGGAAACAATTATCTACCAACAAAGTTTACAACCTGGAAGAAAGGGATAAATTCCTAGAAACATACAATGTTCCAAGGATAAATAAGGAAGAAATAGATAACATGAATAGACCAATAACTACTACCAAAATCAAATCAGTAATCAAAAACTCCCAACAAACAAAAGCCCTGACCAGATGGCTTCACAAGAGAATTCTACTAGAGATTCAAATAAAAACTAGTACCTATCCTTCTCAAACTCTTCCAAAAAACTGGAGAGGAGGAAAGGCTCCTAAACTCATTTTACCAGGTCAGCATCACCCTGTTCCAAAATCAGATAAAGACCCTACAAAAAAAGAAAATTATAGGCCTATATCCCTGATAAATATTGATGCAAATATACTCAAAAGTTTATTAGCAAACCAAATTCAGCAATACATTAAAAAGATCATACACCTAGATCAAGTGAGACTTACTTCTGGGATGCAAGTTTGGTCGAATATCCTCATATCAATTAATATGATACATCACATGAACAAAATGAAGTGTAAAAATCATATGAAAATATCAGTAGACACAGAAAAGATTTTTGACAAAATCTCACTTCCATTTATAATAAAAGCTCCCAGCCATACAGTAGTACCTTGGTACTCATTGTTAATTCATTCAGGAACTTGTGACAAATGCCAAAACTGATGAGTACTAAATGATGAAGCATTTTCTCTTGTGGGGCGGTGTCATGACTAGTACAAGTTCTAGTAAATGCAACAAGTCCCAAGCAAGCTCTGAGTGCTGAAACATTTTTTTCTCATCAAAATGTGACAAGTACAGGGTTTGACAAACTGAAGCTGACAAGAACTGAGGTAAGACTGTATTAAAAACACCTAATACATTGCAAAAAGCTAATTTATAGCCCTTGCTGGCATAGCTCAGTGGATTGAGCATGGGCTGCGAACCAAAGTGTAGCAGGTTCGATTCCCAGCCAGGGTACATGCATAGGTTGCAGGCCATAACCCCCAGCAACCGCACATTGATGTTTCTCTCTCTATCTCCCTCCCTTCCCTCTCTAAAAATAAATAAATAAAATATTTTAAAAATATTTTAAAAAGCTAATTTATATATAGTTCTGACTTTCCTTTAGAGCTCTCTCAGCAAACTTTATTTCCATACTTTTTCCTTACCTTTGCTTTCCAAAGTACATGTCAATTATTAGCAATTCTAAGCCTTAACTCGAATGTTCCATTATATATATATCTCTATATATCTCTATATATATCTATATCAGGTAATATCTAATATAAGTCCCTTGTGTATCACTTATGGGGTGGTACCCTTTTCCTCTTTCATTTCAAGAAAAATAATATTTTTAAAAATCTGTATCCTCAGACCAGTAACTCAACATTCTTCCACCCACCTCTCATATGGGTTTTCATTTTGGGGAGTTAAGAGCACACCTGTTCCAAAAGGTATCTTTCAAAAATCTTCAAAGAAATAAAAACAAAACATTGCTCACATGGCATTTCTTATATAATAACCCCAAAATGTCAGTTTTAAATGCTACAGTTATTATATAGTATTTTCAATTTAGAATCAATTTGATTTTCAATCAGTAATCAAATAATATATTTTCCCAAAATAACTATGATCCATAAAATTAAACACTCATTCATTAACTTGTGGCCCTTAATGTATACACTCTTTTGCATCTTTCTCTTAAATATACAGTGTTAAATTTTTCCTAACCTCTTACTTAGAAAAATACTAAAAAATAGTCTTCATTTCCAAGCAAATGATGTACTACAATAAGCAATCTTAATAGAGCACATTAAATGCCCAGTGAAAAATAATACAAAACAGTACAATCAGAAGCTATAGAAATTTTACCTTGATTCTTCTTTCAGTGTCATCTAACTTTAGCTCTGCTGCAACTAGTTTCTTTGCTAAGTCATCTCGTTCAGGTAGGTGTCTAGCTTCAGAGATCTTTCTCAGTTTCTGCAAGGATAATTTCGTCCTGTATAGTTCATCTTCTGTTTCTTTCACCCTTTTCTCAGTTGCCCGTTCTTTCTCTTGAGCTTTTCTTAAGCGTTCTTTGAGTGCTGTAATCTCGTTGTTATGACGAGCAATAAGTTGTGAGATTTTATTTTCTGTGTCTTCAAACTTATTCAGGGCTTTCTCCTGTCTGTACTGAAGCCTTTTCAAAGCCTTATTTTCTTTTAGCTGCTCAGCTAATTTGACCTGGAGTTCAGTTATTTCATTCTGCAATGCATTGATTTTTAGCAGTCTTGCAGAATGAACCCGTTTTGTAACAAGATCAGTATCTTTCCTTGGTGGCTTCCTACTGAGGATCTGAGAGTGAAATCCCACTCCCTTTCTGTTTGCTGGACCCTTAGGACCTGGTTTCCTAGGAGCTAAAAAAAGAAACAATAATAACATGAAGTGAAAACTCTACCAAATGTAGCATTACTTTTCATCCTAGCAAGTGGATCCATAACATTCTTTAGTTATTTTTCCTTAAAATATGATTTTATGGTATTTAGTTAAATATCAGATTTTATTTGGATTTCATAATGTTTTTATTAAGAAAGGTTTGGAATCTTTTAAGAAACTTCAAGAATATTCTAATCCATCAAAATGATATAACAAGTTTATAGGGATTTATTTTACATTGCTTTAGAAGATGGTAGTATCAGGATTTACCATATTTAATTTTACAATAAGATGACAAGTCAGGATTCAAACATGTGCATTGTCAGCATTAGCATTGTGCCTAATAAACAATGGACAAAACACTGTGATATTCAAGTCATTTGTGCCAAGATATTTGGCCAAGATCATTATCCGAAATGTGGAAATGTAAGTTTTCTCTAAATTAATTATAACTTTTTATTTGGTGAAATAGGATGACAATGTGTTACATTATCAGAAGACTTGGGTTTGGGGCTCAGATTTACCGCTAAATAACTCCTTGGGCAATTCCCCTAAACCTTTCCAGATCTATTTTCTCTACCCACAGAATGAGGATAACACCACCTACATAATTATGCTATTTTGAAGATTAAATCAAGTATGCTTATAAAACAAAATTCTCCACAAATATTCTCTGTCAGTCATAAGAACTTAACCCATTTATTAGTGATTGAAAATGGTAGCACTCCAGCAGAACCAATGTGATTCTAAATACTTTCCTAGGGGTTTTAGTGTGATGTTCATATTAAAAACATATGACATAATTTGAGAATAAGATAAAAACTAAACACTAGATCCTAAAATTATAAGCACATGAAGTACACCCTGGCTGGTGTGGTTCAGTGGATTGAGTGTTGGTCTGAGAACCAAAGGGTCACTAGTTCAAATCCTAGTCAGAACACATGCCTGGGTTGCAGGCCAGTTCCCTAGTAGGGAGTGCTCGAGAGGCAACCACACACGTTTTTCTTCCTCTCTTTCTCCCTCCCTTCCCCTCTTTCTAAAAATAAATAAATTAAAAAAAAAAACAAAAAAACTAAATACTACATCCTAAAAATATAAGCATATAAAAAATGCCCTGGCTAATATGGCTCAGTGGATTGAATGTCAGCCTGTGAACCAAAAGGTCACTGGTTCAATTCCTAGTTAAGGTACATGCCTGGGATGTGGGCCAGGTCCCCAGTTGGGGGAATGCAAGAAGCAACAGATAGATATTTCTCTCTTACACATCAATGTTTCTCTCTCTCTCTTTTTCCCTTCCTTATTCTCTCTCTAAAAATAAATAAATAAATAAAATCTGTAAAAAATAATATGCTGAAATAAAAAGGAGAAAGAATTGCTATCAAACACATATATCTGCGAATTCAAGTATTCAAGATACTATTTGTATCACATTTGCTCTTTCCTTAGTTTAACCTACACTGGTGATTGCAACATAAACCAAGGGAAATGAAATTAGTGTTTAAGGAAAGGTATCAGTTTGGTCCTGTTGCTTGATCTAGGGTAGACAAATTACCACAGATTTTGATTCAGAAGACAATGCAAAGCAGAAAACTGTACAAGTCAGATTGAAGACAATAATTGAAATTTTTATAGGTGATGCTAGAACTGTTTTTCACAGCCTTTTCTCAATTATCTTCTCAAATAAGATAAGGCTTAAGAAGTTCTAACTCCTTAATTATGTGGCCTCTGAAACTGCTCTGGAGAAGGAATGAAAAATCAAAGTATTCCTACTAATAAGTCCCTAGGTATCTAAATTATTTCTTGGGAATAAATGAGCATTTTCCAATGTTCAATCCTAAAGTCTGTTTTTAATTATATAGAGCAAATGTTTAATATCAGATTATGCTTTTACCCACAAAATCAAAACAAGAGACTCACACTGAGACAGACTTGGAGGAAGAAGCCAAAATCCTGCAGCACTGTACTGAAAAACATTTTTTAAAAAAAGGAAAAGAAAAGGGAGGGAGAGAGGGAAGGATGGATGGACAGACTAGCACCCAACTGTAAAAAGTATGAACATCTCTGAGAAGCAAGAACAGGGGTCCATGAAAGGGTTGTTTTCAAAAAGAAACATATGTTCTTGTAGGTTTTTCAAAATGTAAATATGTCTCAAAGTAAGAATTTATATAGGCAATTTAATTATATTCCTGCTTAAATCTTTTCAATGGCTAAGTATTCCCTCACATCAACAATCAATATATTAGCATAGGATTCAAGGTGTTTCATGATCTGGCCCGGTTTCCTTTTCGGATTCCATTTTTAGCACTCCTTGCCTTGCAGTACAAACTCTCACCATTCTTAGCTACTGCTGTTACAGTTGTGCTGCATTTTTTAATGCATATAATAACCAGCTCATTTAACTTAGCTCATTTTTTATGGGGTACCTGTAGCCCTTACACATTTCATTACTAAGTACACATTACTAAACACAGTGGGGTTTTCTTGACCTGGGATTTAAGATGAAAAGATTTCTAGAATATTACCTAGTCAAATTTGTACTAGTACCAGTTCATACTAGTAACACTTTAACAAGAAAAATTATTTCTAATTATTAATCTTATATCCATTATAATACAGTTTAACAGAAAACAGACTGGTGATCTCAAGTCTTAAATTCTATTTCTAGGTTTAATTTGAACTTTTGCAGTAAATGCTGCATTACCTAGGGGAAGTAATTTTACCCAATTAAAAAAAATGCCTCTTAACCACTTTTTATCAATGCTTTCCTACAATGACCACTTTCTTAAAATGAAGACAATTAAGGTACAAACATTTTGATTGTTTTTGCCTTTACAGTACCCCCCAAACTTCTAAACAAGCATTTAGGTAGAAAACAAAATAAGGAGCCTTAATTATGGTTCTTTCTTTTGTAGATAGAATGACTGACTATAACAGGCTAATGCACACTGCCACCAACAACATTTATATAAATTTATAAAAATATATTCTATTCAAAATGTAAATCAGCCCATTTCCATGCATACATTAAAGTACACACTAACAGAAGAGTTTCCTTCATGCAAGCTTTCCTAAGTACTCAGAATAAGTCTTCTAGGTCTAGTGGACTTTCTTAAAGAATGTTTACCTTGGTAATGCACTTGACTATCTGAAATTTGCCTTTTAGAATGTTTTCCCTTGATACTCGTAGTTGAGCAGGGATCGACCGGTGTTGACCGGCCAGAAGACGGTGGTGTAGTTCCGATGTCAGACGAAGAATACCAGTCACGGTGTTTGCCAGCCTTACTTTCTTGGTCAGTGTCAGGGCTTCTTTCTCTTTCTCCCATGGTTTTGAAAATAAGTCTCTGTTAACATAAGTTCACAGATTCTTCCTTCCAGAAAAATCCACAAGAAGCCTGAAGAATATTTTTGAGTTTTTAGATCATGGTGAAAATATTTATGTCTGTGCAGTTTGTTTTTTCTATGTATCTGTAGTCCACAATTCACGTTAGCAATGAGAAGAAACACTTTTTTCCTCTACAATTAAGGATGGGAGAGGGAAATTCATCACATTTCATGAAATAGATTTCTACAGTTAATTACAATGAAAGATACTAAAAGAAAAATAACATACTACTTACAATTTTAAAAAGAGACTATAATTTAATTTGTCTATATTTTTACACATAGTTGTTAACAGTATTTGGAAAAAGTCTATCATAGTCAAGAAAGAGAACATGTAAAGTACCTGACATATAATTGCTTCCAAATAAATGTTAACTGTATTTGATCACCTTAAATATTAAGATTGATAATAAATACAAAAGCTGATTTTTAACAGGTGAATAATGATCAGATAATCAGTGTTTTTCTTTTCTGGGAGGCGGGTGGGGTATTGAAGAACCAGCCTACTAATAATAACAAGGAAAAATGTCTAAGATTGATTACATAAAAATGTAAAACTGAAGTATGTAAATGTTCATCAAATTAAAACACTTGATGAAAAACACTTGCAACATGACAGGAAAATAGTTACCACCCTTAACACATAAATAAGTAACTCACACCCCCCCATAAGAAAAATTGGAGGTCAAAAGTTAAATGGGAAAATATTTACACGTTAAGACCCCCAGCAGGCAATACAAATGATAGGCACATAAAAATATTCAACCTCGAATACCATTTTTAAACCTGTCAAGTTACTAAAGATTTTTCAAAACCACACTCCAAGCAATTATATACCAGAATGACTATCAAGAAGAGAGCCACAGAATTTCTGGAAAAATTACTGGAAAGATAAAATTTTAATTATGCTTTTAATCTTTGATCCAATAATCCTATTACTGGATACCAAGATAATAACCCTAAAAATAGGGGAAAAGTTATATATAAGTGTTTAATACAGTACCTTAAAAAAAAAGCAACTCTAATGTCTAACCATAGTGTAATAATTAAGAATATTATAAAAATCAATACAGTTTAATATCACACAGCTGTTATGTTTACAAAAAGTCTGTATTAACAAGAAGAATCTTTATACTGTTTTGTTAAGAAAACATTCAAAGGAGTATATACAATATGACCTTGACTATACATAGTCATTAAAAAAATGCTGAGTATTTGATCTGAACTCAGGAACTTACAATAATTTGCAAAGCAAAGTATACATACACCAAAGTATTATCTGCCTGGGCAACATGAATTTTAGATGATTTTATCTCTCTTAATAATTTTTATTTTTAATAAAATTAAATTATTTTTATAATTAGAATATTTTTAATAGTTAGAAGAAAGAAAATCCCGTTGATGAAATTAGTACTGAAAGTATAGTGGTTCTAGTAATCTATGAAAAAAGACATACACAAGGCAGCATTACTACTACTCATCGCAGCACTAGTATAGCAGCTGAGGACTAAAACAATCAAAATGACCATTAGTAAGGTCATTAGTAAGGCCTATATAAACCTAAATATCTAAAATAAAGTACAGTATTATGAAGCTATTAAAGGAATGAGGACTATCTGTGTATATTTTCCATAGCCTGGAGCGATCTGCAGGATATATTACAAAAAAAAAGATGGAGAAAAGCATGGACAATATACTACCATTTATCAAAGAAAAAGGGCTATAAATATATGCAATTATTTTTTTATACTTTTAACAAGTAAAAGAATAAGTTAAACACCTCATTTTAAAAAGGGAGAGGTCTCTAGAGCAGGGCTGTCCAACAGAACTTTCGGCGAGAACGGAAATGTTCTATAATCTGTGCTGTCCAATAAAGCAGCTGGACACATTTAGCTACTGAGCACTTAACATGTGGCAAGTGAGACTGAGGAGCTAATTTTTAATTTAGCTGAATTTTAATTAATTTAAAATTTAAAAGCCACATGTACTGCTGGTTAGCAGAGTGGACAGAGAACTGTAGGGAAGAGAGGAAGTGGAGTCTAGGGGTAGGGGACAGGAGCTGGACTTCATTGTCTGTAACCTTTGTAGGCCTGAATATGGAAGTCATAATTTTTAGAAATTATATTTCTAAAAAGCAATTCCTATATAATAAAATGAAACAAAGCAACCTAACTAGATATAGTTTGTGACAAAACCACACAAATTAACCAGCTCAAATGACTTTAAAACACGATGATTTGACTTGATATCCTTAGTGAGATACATGCTACCAACTAAAAAAGTGCAATTTTTTCAACATAGGAAGAAACAAATATAAGCTAGCATGGGTTTTTAAAACTCTGTAATCCAAAATTTGAATTAGGAATGTTAAGTATGAATTTATGATGGATTTTATATTAAGAAACACTATTTCGCCCTGGCTGGTGTAGCTCAATGGATTGTGCGTGGGCTGCAAACCAGTGTCGCAGGTTCAATTCCCAGTCAGGGCACATACCTGGGCTGTAGGCCATGACCCCCAGCAACCACACATTGATGTTTCTCTCTCTCTCTCTATCCCCCTCCTTTCCCTCTCTAAAAATAAATAAATAAAAATCTTTAAAAATAAAACACGATTTCTTAGCTCTGTTCATTGAAAAATCCTAAAACAAGGAACAAATAAATTACAAACAACATTCCTAACACCCAAATGTAGTATCTAAATACTATTTCCCTTCAGCAGAAACTAATGCTCCAAGTGAAATATCTTATTCCACATTGGAGGTAGGACACATACAAGATGAATCTATGAATCTAGAAATGTGGTTATCCTAGAAAGCAAGGAAGGTATACGACACCAGATGGAATATCAAAAGGGCTGAGGAGCCAGCTTGAAGGAGCTCATATAGTACTAAGATGGAACAATTCACCATCAGTAAGAATTATATCAGAAAACAATTATAACACATCAGTTACATTTAAATTCATGAGGTCACATAATACTTTAAAAAACTAATTAGTCACCTTTGGAGGATGCTAGGAAACCAACTTATTTACCTGACAATTGAAATAAAGGGAAAAAAAATCAAGCATGTGTCTTGCCTATACTGTTACAAGCTATATCACAAAATGACAAAACAGAAGTAGCTTAATGGGAAGTATTTCTTTATAAAATTACTCTAGCTAATAAGTGAAAAACAACATTTAGAATGACAGAATTAGAACATTGCCATTTTGTAGCCACTAATGAAATAACGAAGCCAGACAGTGACCACGAGTGACTGCCGCCATCACAGAACAGAAACAGGCAGACTCTGTGTGCCCCCAGACAGGACACGGTGATACCTCTGAAGCAACCTGCTCCCCTACAAGGAGAACTAAATCTGATTCTGATCAACTCTATAAATGTAAATGATAATTTACAGAAAATACGAGAGACAAATGTACAAGGAAGCAAAATCCAGACTGTGGCAAATTCTATTAGGAAAACTGGTTTCTGCAACTCAAGCAGAAAAAGAAGAGATGGCAAGGGCTATCTATACATTAAGAAAGTCTTAAGGGAAATAAGCAGTTATAACCTATGAACCTTACTTCAGTCCTGATGCAAATAAAATATGGAAAAGTGTAAGATAATAGAGAAAATTTAAACACTGATTTAACATTTAATGATATTAAGGAATTACTATTGCTTTAGGTGAGAGGATGATACTGTGCTTATTTTTTAAAAAGAATCCTTATGTTTTAGGGACATATATTGAGATATTTATAGATAAAATTAACTAATTTCTGGCGTTTGCTTCAGAATAATCCAGGAGGCAGTAAGAATGTTTCGTGTTTCTTGGTACTACTGACATTTTGGCCAGATAATTCTTTGCTGTGTGGCTGCCTTATGCACTGGGAGATGTTCTTCATCACCCCTGGCCTCTACCCACTAGACGCCAATAGCAGGAGGTAGCTGACACACTCAAAATATCCAGATCAATAAAGTTATTGATGAAGATGAAAAATGTATCTTTTATTTTACAGAAAAAACTAAACAGACTTTTGGGCCAACCCAATACATGAGAACACTTTCTTAATAATGATAACAAATTCAAGAATAGTGCCAGGAACACTAGAGAATTCTTTCTTACCTTTGCCAAGCTTCTGTTTATTTAGGATCAATTTTAAAATAAGGCAGATATTTCTAACCTACATATATGTATCATCTTGTACTTTGTTACAACTCTTCATGACAACAAACAAGTGTCCCTTAGAAAATAGAGATTTAAGCTTTCCTAGAAAACAGAAACTTAGACACTTGTGAAAAATCACTTTAGTCTTTATATATAAAAAGCACTGTTGTCTGGCTGACAATGCTATCAGAAAAACAGTTCAAACAAGCAAACAGTCAAACAAAAGTTAACAAGCTCAAGAAAAAAAAGACATGAAATAGTAGAACAAAAGAAGAAAGAAATAGATGAAAATGGGGTAAGGCACTATTAGGATGATTACCATTAACTTGCTTCATGAAGTATAAACAAGAACAAACTATGATAGCCTAGTAAGATTACATAACACTTTAGCACTAGCAGGAACCCTGGGAGTGTCACACCTTCCTTTACATAGATTAAGGAAACTAAGGCCCACAAAAACTAAGTGACTTACCCAAGATCACAATTTATCTAAAATCTCAGAGCTAAGTCAATAAAACTTCAAATGGACTAGAAGTTTTCCAAATCTTAATTATGTGACCTATTCAATATTTCACTATCAACAATAAGATGAGAATTACCTCATCTTTGAAGCCACGATCATCTGCATGTATCCCACACTGTTGCCCTCTTCTTTGCTAAAACTGAAGAAGCACTTCTATCTTTTTTTTAGAGCTCAATCTTTCACCTGTCTTCTGCCCCACACTTTTCCCCATCTCAAAAATTGTGCTCCTGCAATTGTGTCCTCCTGCAATCATGTCCTCCTCACAGGATCATTCCTACCAACAAAGAGAAAGCTATCATGTGACTGTATGTCCTACTGCACTGACAACCCAATTTTTCTCTACTCCAATTTTCAAATAAAAATGTTTAAGAATTATCTATAATCTAGAATATCTCTACTTCTTTTATAACCATTTTCTTCTGAATCCGCATTAGTCAGGTTTTCATCCCCACTGAAAT